AATGGCAGCACGGGGGATCGAACCAAGCTCGTCTAGAGCTGTAGACCGGCGCGCTCCCGACTGCGCCACGACGACAAGTTCGAGGCCTGCCGCTAAACGGGTTTTTGATCTGGTTTCAGCTGGTTTTTCCCTTCGCTTTCTTCTTTTCTTTCTCCCTCCTGTTCTTCCTTCCTTCCTTTCTTGCTTTCTTCCTTTCTTCCTTCTGTTCTTCCTTCTGTTCTTCCTTCCTTCCTCCCTTCCTTCCTTTCTTCCTTTCTTTCTTCCTTCCGTTCTTTCTTTCTCCCTTCCTCCCTTCCTTCCTCCCTCCTTCCTCCCTTCCTTCCTCCCTTTCATCCTCCCTTCCTTTCTTCCTTCCGTTCTTCCTTCCTTTCTTACTTCCTTTTGCTCTTCCTTCCTCCCTCCTTCCTCCCTCCTCCCTCCCTTCCTCCCTCCCTCCTTCCTCCCTTCCTTCCTCCCTTCCTTCCTTTCTTCCTTTCTTCTTTCTCATCCCTTCCCTTCCAGTTTTCCATCTAGAAATGGCGACGAGAGCCCATCAAATCCCATTTGATCAAAACGCGAAGAAGTATCAGTGTTTTTGCGGGAATTTGCATATAAAGGTAAATCCGTGATTCTAGACTTCTTAAACAAGAAACCTTTCTTAAATCTTTCAGAAAGGCGCCCGTATCGTTTCCTGTCTCTTGGCGTTGTCCCTGGCGGTGACGGTGATCTTCTCATTGACCCGGACGGCCACCGTCGCCTTCCAGAATCTCTTCTCCGCCGGTAAGCGCCAAGAAATGAACATTTTGAAAATCCAGTGAGAAATTCGGGCAAGCTGGAGCTCACATGAAAACAAAATGATGATCTGGTTTGTAGAAAGTTACATTTGCAATCTTGACGTGGAGCCGTTAGAGTTCTAGATGTTTTAGAGCTGAAAATCGAATTGTTTTAGATTTCTTTTGCTAATTTCTGTCAATCTGGAAGGCACCAAGGGGAAATTTTTTTATTTTAGCGTTCGGCGTCGTCGTTTTCGGCATGTTGTTATACGGGGTTTTCAAAGAAAAGCGACTCTACGTCTTGCCATACATGATTTTTCAGGTAATCATAAAAGCTTTCTTTTTTTGCTTTAGTTTTTTGTCCTGCCATCCAGAAACCGGGTTTCTGATGGAATTATGAAATTTTACAAAAAACCGGAGCTTCAATTTTGTCAGAGTCATCAACTCCGATCTCTGCCTAGCTCTGCCTAACTTTCCCTAACTTTCCCTAGCTAATTGACCTCAATTTTCTTCAGACAATCAGTCTCGTGCTCACTTTCATCTCTCTCATCGCTTTGTTGATCATGGTTGCAACGAATTCGAATGCGATTAGTCAATTGGCTCAAGATTACGGGAGTTTGGAACAATTGGGAATGTCCCAAGATGATTTTAATAAAGGTAATTGATTTTTTTATGCAATCTGGATGTCACACAATTAGCTGAAATCATCATTTTTAGAACTCGTCTTAAAAAGCTATCATCCTTAAACAACACCCAAGTTACCGTACCCGAGCTTGTCTTTTTTCTAGAATTGCATTTTAATTGTTTTTTTCTTTGCCAAGCCCTCTCGTGACTTCCAGATCGTTCATTTTTAAGGTTAAAAATGCGCTAGAAAGGATGGGTTGACGAGATTTAAGCTCCGAAGCTGTTGGGTAACTAAACCAAAGGCAATCTCATTATTTTCAGCTCTTTCCGGCTTTGTCGTCTTCATGATCATTTTCATTTGCATATCCGGGCTGGTAGAAGCGTATTTCCTCGAAGTTATCTACCGCTTCTACACATTTTTAAAGGTCAGTGCTAAACGACGCGCTAGCTACCGTAACCTTTCAATGTCTTTTTCTCAAATCGCATATCCAGCCATTTTAACCCCACCAATCTCCATCGTGACTTCCAAAATCGAGATTCCAGGATCGCGAGACCTCGTTCAACTTCAACTTCGACACGTGCACGCCCGGCTTCACCAACACTCAAGTCCACCCACCACAATATGATGGAATGATGGGATGATTTGAAAGCGAAAAATCGAAATGACATCCAACTAGAGCTTTTCCATAATCAAAATCCAATTTAAATTTAAATATGCAAATTTTTAACTCACCAACTCTTACGCTCGAAAATAGAAATCTCTCCGCTTTTAGTAAATTAAAAACCCCTTTTTTTTATGCCATCTGGATGTCACACAATTAGCTGAAATCATCATTTCTAGAATTTGTCTTAAAAAGCTATCATCCTTAAAAAACACCCAAGTTACCGTAGCCGACCGTGTCTTTTTTCTAGAATTGCATTTTCATTGTTTTTTTCTTCACCAAGCCCTCTCGTGACTTCCAGATCGTTCATTTTTAAGTTTAAAAATGCGCTAGAAAGTATGGGTTGACAAATTTAAGCGCTGAAGCTGTTGGGTAACTGAACCAAAGGAAATCTCATCATTTCCAGCGATTTTAATAAGGATCAGCAAATTTTTTATGCCATCTGGATGTCACACAATTAGCTGAAATCATGATTTCTGGGATTTGTCTTAAAAAGCTATCATCCCTAAACAACACCCAAGTTACCGTAGCCGACCGTGTCTTTTTTCTAGAATTGCATTTTCATTGTTTTTTTCTTCGCCAAACCCTCTCGTGACTTCCAACTAGAGCTTTTCCATAATCAAAATCCAATTTAAATTTAAATATGCAAATTTTTAACTCACAAACTCTTACGCTCGAAAATAGAAATCTCTCCACTTTTCGTAGATTCAAAATCCCTTTTTCCAGAATGCGTAGTGACATCCAGATGAGCGATTTTTAAATGAAAATTATCTGGATTCCTTTATTTTGAGCCTTTTTTTCCTATCGAATCCGTTAAATCGATTTTTACGTGTGTAAATAAAAGTTATGAATGAAAATGGAAAAGGGAAATTTCACAATTTTGCGAAATTTTCAGAGCTATTGACATCTGAGTAAATATGTAGAGAAATTTCCCCACTTTTTAGCCAAACGTTTATGCGAAACGATCGAATTTCTTTGTTTTTGAGCAAAAATTGTTTTTCAAAATCAGAATTTGTTTGAATTACGGCTTTTCGTGGAGCTTGGATTGGGTAGATTTAGTTGAATGTTATTGGAGAGCCTTTTTTTGCATGCAGAGCTTTATTTCCTTGTCTCCGATCGAATCGATATCGATCATAGAACGCATAATATGTTTTCGAACAGGTTTCAAACAGGAAAGTGGTCTTTTCGAACAGGAAAATGTTATGATTTTGAGATATTCAGCCGATCTGGGAGTCACACTGTAAAATTGAGTTGAAAAATCTAAGAATGCTGATTGAAGAATGCTGATTGAAGTCTTGATTGCCGATTGCCGAGATTGCCGCAATATCCGGAGCCTGATAACGCTAAAGTGCGTACTTAATGAAAGATTTCAGCGATCTGGGAGTCACACTGTAAAATTGATTTGAAAAATCTAGGAAAAATGCCGATTGAAGTTTTGATTGCTGATTGCCACAAGATTGCCACAATATCCGGAGACTGGCAACGCTAAAGTGCGTACTTAATGAAAGATTTCAACGATCTGGGAGTCACACTGTAAAATTGATTTGAAAAATCTAGGAAAAATGCCGATTGAAGTTTTGATTGCTGATTGCCACAAGATTGCCACAATATCCGGAGGCTGGTGACGCTAAAGTGCTTACTCAATGAAAGATTTCAGCGATCTGGGAGTCACACTGTAAAATTGATTTGAAAAATCTAGGAAAACCTTCTGTTCCCAAAAATTCCCCCAATTCCCGGAGGCCGGTAACCCCAAAATGCTTACTCAATGAAGTTCAGCGATCTGGGAGTCACACTGTAAAATTGATTTGAAAAATCTAGGAAAAATGCTGATTGAAGTTTTGATTGCCGATTGCCGAGATTGCCGCAATATCCGGAGTCTGGTAACGCTAAAGTGATTACTTAATGAAAGATTTCAACGATCTGGGAGTCACACTGTAAAATTGATTTGAAAAATCTAGGAAAAATGCTGATTGAGGTTTTGATTGCCGATTGCCACAAGATCGCCGCAATAGCCGGAATCCGGTAACGCTAAAGTGCGTACTTAATGAAAGATTTCAGCGATCTGGAAGGCACAACACAAGTTAGACTGCAAAAATTCTGAAAATTAGCGAAAATAAAGTTTTGATGGAATCACTGTAACTCAGGGTTTGCTGAAAGTTGCCCGATAGACTCCGTGCTAGCCAGGGTGCTGAAATCGAATCGATTTTGCCTTTAGATGCCTTTAGATCCCTTTTAGATAACAGTGGCCATCATTTTTTGTCTTTTTTTCTTTTTTATAAAAACTTTTATGCAATTTGACTGAAATCAGAGAAATCGAAAAAAAAAAAACAAAAAAAAATTCAAAAGGGCTTAAAATTTGCAAATTCTCGATTATCTTTCGAAAAATACAAACAGTGAATCCCAGAATGAAAAGCAATGACATTGAAAATCGGTGTGAACAAAAGGAAATGGGAAAATGATCAGGAGAAATGATCAGCTTTCAATCACTCAGTGACTACAACGGAATTTGAGCTCGGGTTTTTTATAAAAATTCGGAATTTTTTCAAAAAAGTCTTTTCTGGATGTCACGACAGAGAAATAAAGAAAAAAAAGCAAAAAAAACAGTTTTAAAAATGTTTTAATTTTAAAAGCAAATTTTAAATGCAAATTTTTACAGGCATCATTACAGACAGCATTTACAGTAATCCGGGCGGCCCTTCTCTAGTACTGTACTTTCGCCCAAACAATACTAGGCTATTGTAAAACGTCTAAAAAGCGCAGTGCCCTCCATAGTTTACGGTAACTTATCCAGTTTTTCGTCATCTACCTTGGGAAGCGAAATTTCAAGTCAAAGTCTTTCGCTCAAAAAAATCGGTTTTTTAAAAATCAAAGAAAATTATGTTTTTTTTTGTTTTAGCAGTACGCTGTGCTCTCCAGAACGTTCGAATTTGACGGAAAAATTGGGGATTTCGATTCAAATTCAGAACATAATGTGATCGACTTCGACTCGCTCTCCGCCCATCACCGCAAATGTCAAATCCTCTTCGCGGGGCTCGGCCGGCGACTCTAAAAGCTTTCAAATCATTTAGGAATTTGAATTTGAACTTAATTCACGTGAATTCTGCTTAAATCCTGCTTAAATTCTGCTTAAAATCAGTCACTTTTCAGCAGGGATCCTTCATTTTCGAGTTCACCGAGATTTTCGACGAAAATTTGAATGAATCGAAAAAGTTTTCAAATAAAAACTTCGAACTGGAGATCATTCTAGCATTTAGATTACTTAGATTCTAAAAGAAATCAATTTGCAATTTGAAAAAAAAGTGGAGCATTGATCTAGCCGGAAAATCGAGGCGAAAACTTGAAGGAATCGAAAATTTTTCAACTTAAAACTTCGATCTGGATATCATTCTAGGATTTGGATTACTCAGATTTGGAAAAAAATCAATTCGAAATTTGGAAAAGCGAGGAGTCGATCTAGGTAGGAATTCGAGGCGAAAAATTGAATAAATCGAAAATTTTTGAACTTAAAACTTTGATCTGGATGTCATTTTAGAATTTGGATTACTTAGATTCGGAAAAAAATCAATTTCGAATTTCGAAAAAAGTGGATCTGATCTAGCCGGAAAATCGGGTCGAAAATTTGAGGTAATCGAAAATTTTTCAACTTAAAACCTCGATCTGGATGTCATTTTATGATTTGGATTACTTAGATTCGGAAAAAAATCAATTCGAAATTTGGAAAAGAGAAGGGTCGATCTAGGTAGGAATTCGAGGCGAAAAACTGAGCCAATCAGAAATTCTTCAACTTAAAACCTCGATCTGGATGTCATTGTAGCCTTTAAAGAGCTTAAATCGTAGAAAATTTCGATTTTGAAATTTTTTGAAATTGTTTGAAATGATTCTGCGTTCTTGTTCGGATTCGAAAAAAACAAAGTCTGGCACACTGAGTTCGGTAATTAAACCGGCCTAGAAAAGAAAAAAATTCATTCCCAAACCCCTTTTCTGTCGTTTCATCACGTCTTGCTCGGTTTGTGAGATTTTGTGCAGCATGAAAACGGGTCGGAAGAGACAATGCCGATTCACCATCTGAAATCGAGATTTTCGGGGATAAGGCCAGGTTTTTCTTCGTTTTACCTCGATTCTGGAGGTCAGTATGGAAAATAAACCTGTGAGTTCAAATCGATGAGATCCTGGTGAGCGATGGGTGGACCGACGCGGAATGTCTCGCGCACCACTGGGCGCATTTCTTTCGACGACTCGGACTGAATGTTCGGTTTTTGAATGATCTGGATGTCACAAATAAAGATGCTGTAGAGTTTGATAGGGTTTTCTTATAATCTACCAGACCCGACTTTTCTTGGCTCTAGATCCAGAGCTCAAGCGTGACCTTGCCCTGCTCTGGAGCCTAGACCTTGCCTGCTCTGGCTCTGGCTCTGGCTCTGGCTCTGCCTTGATGGCCTGGCCTGGTCAATTGATTCTAGTCCTGATTCTGGTCTGTTCAAACAAGGTCTGACCGCAGAGCTGACTCTAAGAAATCTAGAATGACTTGGTCTGACTGACTCCATTTCTTGATTCAATTCTAACCCGCCAAAACAGACAATCTTGTCCCAAAGCTCTAATTCAGCCCAGTTCTGTCTAGAGCGGGTTCCTCTTGATCTTGACCAATTAATCAAACATTAGCGGTCGAACATTTGATACGAGCCCCGCCCCTTTTACGCATAAAAGGAACGCCCCGCCTTTTTGCCATTGGCAATCCATCTTTGAGCTCAAATATCTTGGCTTTGAGCTGTTCAATTGAAATCTTCTTGGTATCATTAGATGCGCCAAGTCTTTCTCTTTTGATTGGGATAAAAACTTTTGAAATTGGGTACACCAACATCGAGATATTTAAGTTCAAAGTTATATTCTCAAAAAGGGCGGAGCTAGGAAGACCTTTTATACGTGCCCCGTATCATTAGATGCGCCAAGTCTTTCCCTATCGATTGGTACAAAAAGTATCTAGATTGGACGCCCCAAAGTCGAGATAATCGAGCTCAAAGTTAGATTGACAAAAGGGGCGGGGCCAGAGAAACCTTTTATACGCGCCCCGCCCCTTCGCCATTAGAGAAAGACTTGGCGCATCTAATGATACCAAGAAGATTTCAATTGAACAGCTAAAAGCCGAGATATTTGAACTCAAAGCTAGATTGTCAATGGCAAAGGGACCAGGCGCGTATAAAAGGTCTCTCTGGCCCCGCCCCTTTTGCCAACCCAAATATTTTTTGGTGGAAATCGAAAATCTAAATCCTAGAAATTCTAATGTGACATCCAGATCGAAGAAAAAACGCAATTGAAATCAAATTGCGTTTGCCAATTGTTCAGAATTATCGCAAACTCTTGACAGTGCTCGCGTTCGCGAAGATTCCGAAAAATTGGCAAACGCAATTTGATTTTAATTGCATTTTTTCTTCGATCTGGATGTCACACTAGAACTTCTAAGATTCAGATTTTCGATTTTCACCAAAATCTTTTTTGTCTTATAGTCGATGTGCCGCGTGACTGCCCTGCTGCGATTCTGAGCCTGAGTCTGAGCCTGAGCCTGAGCCTAAGCCTAAGCCTACTATAAATTCCCACTCCCATGCTCACCTTCATTCTCCTGATCCGAGAGATGAGCTCTCTGGGCGATAACATCGTTGATCGATCTAAATCCCGCAAGAAACACCGTCGCCCAAGCACATCCACAATTGCTGTCATGTTCTGAAAAGCCGAATTGAGATCGCCCACAATCCTATAAACCTTTTTGAAATCGTGAATGAACACAGCGGGTCTATTGCTCCCGAATTGTTGCACGTTCATCTTTTCGTAGTCCTGGAAGTTCATTTTCGCTTTTCAATCAAATTTTTTGTCAATCTGGATGTCACAAGAGATTTTGAGGCTAGTTATTCGACGTTTTCTCAACAAAAAATCAACTTGTATCTACGATTCTGAGTTGGAAACGATTTACGTTTTTTCTATCCGAGATTTCTTCTTTATTTTACTATTTTTGGACATCCTGGATCACACACAGGAGCCCTGAAAGCAAATAGACCGGGCAGGGGTGAGGGGTGAGGGTTGTGAATTCAGATCATAGAGGGGTGGAGAGGTTGATCAATGGGAAAAATGAAAATAAAGAATAAAGAAAGGGACAGAAAAGCGGTTTGTTGTTGGAAAGGGTGCATTCCAGGATGGCCAAAAAACGGACAAAGAAGTTTTGGAAGTGAGTTGGGAGCAAGATTTCGAGGTGATCTGTGTTCAAGGCCAAATTTTGGCTTGAAACAAGAATTTTCGAATTTCGACAAAATTTCTCGTCAATCTGGATGTCATTGCTAATTTTAGAAGAAAGATTTTTTAAATCAGACAACTTTTAAAAACCAGACAATATTTGATACGGTAATTTATCCACGTTTTAGGGTGAAATGGTTTGGGTACGGTAAAGGATCCAAAAAATAGATATTTGTTTGTTTTTTGATTATTTACTGATTTCCTTACATTGGCTGGATCAACCTCGACATTTTGCCGAAGTTCCTCGGCGTGCCCGTTGTCGCTGAAGGCCGTCTGGGTGTACGCGGTGTACGGTAGGGTTTTCGGGGTCACTGTTCTGGAAATGTGGCTTTTTTAAAAGCGGAATCCCAATTCTGGAAGTCACACAAGCTTTTGGAAATGAAACTTTTGACAGAAACGCTTTCCACAAAAATCGGTTTACCCAATTTCGAGTACGATGGAAAATCTCGGCAGTCAAGCAAGATTTTTCAATTCTGATTTAACTTTTTATCAATCTGGATGTCACCAAGCGCTTTGAACTCAAAAAAATCCCATTTTCACGAACTTGTGAAAAAAGTATCCGGCGACAAAGGAGAATGTGAAGATCGTCAAAGCAAAAAAGACAAGCCACGCTCGGATACGGTACAATCTAAGTAAAAGCATAGCTTTAAATGGGTTGGAATCGGTTTTTCTTCTACCTATGCCAATGATCTTCGTATTCGGGCGGTGATGGGGACGGGGTGCGAGCGAATGGCGAGGGGGAAAGTCGAATAATCGAAAGGGGGCCAAATGATGAGGATCGCTTCTTTTTCCCGACTCTAAAACATGAAATTTGTTAGTCCTGGATGTCACAGTAAACAAATTGAAAATAAAATTTGAGGGAAACCGTCAGAAAAAAAAAAATTTTTTTAGACAATTTTTTTATGCAAATTTTTTAGACAAAATTTTTTATGCAAATTTTTTTTAGACAATTTTTTTAGACAATTTTTTAGACAATTTTTTACGAATTTTTTATGCAAATTTTTTTAGGCAATTTTTTATGCTAATTTTTTTAGGCAATTTTTTTATGCTAATTTTTTTACGCAATTTTTTATGCTAATTTTTTAGACAAAATTTTTAGGCGAATTTTTTACAAAATTTTTGCTTTTTTAATTTTACAATTTTTTATTTTTTATTTCGCAACTTTGAGTTTTCTAAATTTGCATTAAAGATCGAATTTGCATTTATCTAGCTATTGAATAGGTTTTTCTGGCTTTAAAACGAACGCATCGTCCTCTGGCGGAGTCGGCGACGGGGTGGGCGCGAGTGGAGACGGCGAGATGACCACCTGAAAATGAGCAAAATTTCTTTGGGGAAAATGTTGCCAAAAATTAGTTTCAATTGCTCACGTGACTTCCAGATGGCTGAAATTAAGCAGAAAAATTCGAATTTTCCCCACCTGTGGCAACTTTTTTTCGCCCTTCTCCTCGCCGCCGTCACCTTTCGTAAAAACAGTCATTGCCTGGAATTTGTGATGAAAAAATCGGGTTTTTGAGATGGATTTTTGAAAATTGGAGTCCACGGATGGCGAGAGTTAACTCCAGGATTTTGATGGAACCTGGAAAACCCGCTTTTTTCTCGAGCGTTTTCTGAAGCTTTAGCTTTGAACGTTCGGACGCGATTTTCTCAAAGCTCAACTTTGGAAATTCAAAAATTCAAAAAGCTTAATCGATTCTGGAGGTCACACAACAATTTGAGCCATTTTTTAGCTAATAAAAGTGAAAACTAAAATTTCGAATTTAGCGTCGGAACGTTCAATTCCAATGTTCTCAAAGCTGAGCTTTAGAAATTCAAAAATTCTAAAAGATTGGTCGATTCTGGAGGTCACACAACAATTTGAGCCACTTATTCGCCAAAAAGAGTCAAAATTGAAATTTCGAGTTTAGCACTGAACATTATGACACAATTACTCAAGGCTCAACTTTAGAAATTCAAAAATTTTTTTGGATTTGTTCATTCTGGAGGTCACAAAACAATTTGAGCCATTTATTCACTAACAAAAGTGAAAATAGAAATTTTAAGTTCAGCGCTGAACGTTATGCCACAATTTCTCAAAGCTGAACTTTAGAAATCCAAAAATTCAAAAAGATTAGTCTATTCTGGAGGTCACACAACAATTTGAGCCATTTTTTAGCTAATAAAAGTGAAAATTGAAATTTCGAGTTCAGCGCTGAAAGTTCTGCCTCAATTTTCTCAAAAACCAGAGAAGAAACCGTTGATCCGACAAAACAAAAATTCCATTCTGGAAGGCATTTATCGAGAAAAATGGGGTTTCCAATGGAAAAAAGAAGAAAACAGGGAAGCAAAGAATCTATAGGAATGATCGGAGAGGGACAATGAAGGGCGTCTCTTTGCTTTTGACCCCATTGTCCCTTTTCCTGTCCACATAAAATAGCCGTCAGGATATCAGGATCGTAATTCCCGTACTTCGCTTAGTTTAAAAAAGCTTAAAATTAAAAAAAACTCAATTTCAAAGAAATTCAATTAAACAAATAGAGAAAAAGAAAAAATTATTCAAATTTTGAAATTTTTTTGATTTTGAGCTGAGCTTTAGAGCCTTAAAAATGTTAAAAAATTTGAAATAATAAATCAAATTCGCTCTAAAGCAGTAAAGCAAGTAAAATTCTCGATGAAATCCTTTTGAGAACCGATCTGAGGGAAAGGTGAGTGCTCGTGCGGGACACAAACAGACTCCACCACAAAAGGACGACCGAGGAAAGGAAATCGTTGAAAGGGGGTGAAGAAAAGGAGCTCCTGGGACGCACAGGACACAACTAGCAGCCGAGGGGATCCCTACCCCCATCCCTCCCCGAGACGACAACACCACCACGACTCTGCGCCCATTTCTTGGCCCCTCTCGCGTCTCTCGAGTCCTCTTCTCGATTTTCGTCTTTCCTGGAGCTCATCGCATTTGAACTCACGTTTTTGGTGGGGTCAGCTTTGAGCTTAACAAAGCTGGTTAAGACCAGTTGAGGGTCAGCCACTGTACGACTACCGTATACTAAGCTTTAGCTTTAGCCAAAGCAATCGCCAATCTTCAATCGCCAAACCTTTACGTGATATCCAATTTGAATAAATTTTACGTAAAAATATCGAAACATAACAAAAAGCCTGCAGGGTTGCGTCGAATCCGAATCTCGAATCGAATCGAAGCCAATTTGTGGCCAGTTTGCTCAATTTCCGAGAAACAGTGACTGTTTCTGCCAAACTGGAGCGCACAGTTGAAAATCAAGCATCGGTTAACCGATTTTCTGCGTTTTAAAGCTCACCACCTAGTAGACCTTGTCATACTAGGGACTAGAGCTGAGGTACGAGCGATAAAACCTAGTGCTACATAGTGCAATCAATCCTGTGACTTCCAGAACACCGGAAAATCTTGTCTGTGCTCGAAAAATTCAATTTTAACTGTGTCCAAATCAGCTCAACTGACCATCACCAACTGATCATCACCAACATCAACATTGGGGTTACGGAAGTAAATTTACGTGCTTTTTTACAGAAAGCCTAAAGAAAGAGAGACCTTGGTGACAATATTTGTCCTCATTTTACCCCTTTCTCGTTTCTTTTTGCTAAATATTGGCTCGTGCAGCTTTTCATTGTCTCTTTTCCCTCATTCACTGCACGACTTTTCCCGATTTTGATCAGAAAATTGGAGAATTTATTGAAAAAATTACGATGAAATACAGCTAAATTTATAGGGTAACTAAAAAAAGCTAGCTTTAAAAAGCTTTAAAAGTTGACTTTAATAATAAAACCATCAACTCAACCTCAACGGAGAACAGCTTATAAATCAATAATCAAGAAATTAACAGGAATCACTCAAGAATCGTTATCCAAATCATTATCTCCAAATTCAATATCCAAGTTGATCATTGATGAATTGCTATTGATGGATTGCTATGGATTGCTCAAGTCGAGCATTGGCGAGTCTTGCAGTCATCAATCGTCATCAATCGGCAATCGCCTCTAGGAATCGGTCCTTCTTTCTTGAAGCAATGAATGAGATTGTCTTTTGATCTATCAGTAGCCATGGGAATCGCACAATTCTTGACCACAATCTTGACTGAGAGCATGATTGAGGTTCTTCGGGTGTTCGTTTCACAAACCAATAGATCGGTTTTCATTGGTGGTGACTGGATTTCCACTGCGAGTCAACGTCGTTCGCTCACTCAGTCATTCGCTCACTCATTCGCTCATTCATTATTCATTCATATTCAGCTCGAATTCGTGTTTTTTAAGGCCAAACCACATGCTTGGTGCACCCTCCAGGCAACAGAAGCGAATCAATTTGCAAATCCTTCAGAATTTGTGACATGTGTGAGGGTTCTCCACTCGGCTAACGCGTGCCGAGTCAAGTTGAGTCACGAGTCAGGAGTCGAGGACCTCTGACTCGACTCGACTCGCGGCCCATGTCTAGTGTCTGTGGCAAAAAGTGGCAAAAAAGAGTCGATTTTCAATCATTTTGTTCTAAGCGCTGGTTAATGCTAAAAATATGTGTTATATCTCAAAACCTCACCCATTCTCTCTACTTTAATTTGATACCTAAGCGCGGAGAAACAAACGTACAAAGTGTCGAGAAATAAGCGTTTGTTGCCGAGCGATGTCCATGTGGTTCGCCTTCAAGAGATTCAATACCTTCTCGGAATCGGGCAACCCAGCGCTGGCATGATCTTTTGGTCATAACTTGTTCTCCAAAAGTGGAACAGAGATCACGATGTGATTCGGCAGCGTTTTTGCCCATCTTGAAATCGTTCTTTTCGACTTGAGAAGCAAGATATGGCTGATCGAAACGTGTGCTCCTAGATTCTCGGTGTTCAATTGATGTGGAACCGATCGTCCATTACGATTGGCCTTTCCGCTTATTTCCAAATGACAGACAATTGTTGATTGATCACATTGGAGATGTTTGGCAAGCTCTCGTGTTTTTTGCATTGGATCGGCTTCACCAAGTTGTTCCAATTCATTCTTATCGATCGTTGCCGAGCGATGTCCATGTGATTCGTCTTCAAGAGATTCAATACCTTCCCGGAATCGGGCAAACCAGAGCTGGCAGGATCTTTCAGTCATAACTTGTTCTCCAAAAGTGGAATAGAGATCACGATGTGATTCGGCAGCGTTTTTGTCCCTCGTAGAGAGGACGGAAGAAGAAATCGTCGAGAAGACACGCGCGCACAACAGACTTTTGATCCACCATGATCTAAAGCAAATATCCATTAAAAATTGAAAGTTGTGACTTGAAAAAAGCTGTGAAAAAAAGCGTAAAAATAAAGTAAATATTCAAGAGTACAAGTTTGCTAGTTTGCTTTTTTGAAACTCCTTACAAAACTTTAAAGAACAGCTTTACAAAGCATATAACTTTCAACAGAGTTTTCCATACCAAAAAAAGAAAAGCAGCATCACTCTGCATTGAAAGCATCGAAATTCTGCATCGAATCGGTTTTGGCCATCCAGTTGGCCTTCCCTTGTAAATGATACAGTTAAATACGATCTTTTATTTCTTATTATTGCGACAAAATTCGATCAAAGAACAACTTTTTAAAAACCTTCTTATTCTGTTTGTTCTTACAGCTTTTTACAAATTGAATCCCAATTCTGGATGGCACACAATCTTTTTGCAATGAAACTTTTGACGGAAACGATTTCCACAAAAATCGATTTACCCAATTTCGAGTACGATTGAAAATCTCGGCAGTCAAGCAAGATTTTCCAATTCTGATTTAACTTTTCATCGATCTGGATGTCAGCAGGCGCTTTGAACTCAAAAAAAAATCCCATTTTCACGAACTTGTGAAAGGCCGTCTGGGTGTACGCGGTGTACGGCAGGGTTTTCGGGGTCACTGTTCTGGAAATGCAGCTTTTTAAAAGCGGAAACCCAATTCCTGGATGGCACACAAGCTTTTTGCAAAGAAACTTTTGACGGAAACGATTTCCACAAAAATCGATTTACCCAATTTCGGGTACGAGTGAAAATCTTGACAGCAAACGGGGGATTTTTCGATTCTGATTCAACTTTTCATCGATTTGGATGTCAGCAGGCGCTTTGTTGAACTCTAAAAAAATCCCATTTTCACCAACATGTATCTTCGATAAGGCTAAGCGGGTAAAAAGAGCTCTTTCCCTTATACAGTTATTAGGTTGTCCCATAAAAAATTGCCGTTTTTTTCATTTGATTCGTATTCAGCGACAAATTAACACTTTCTCTTTCTGTTTTTTTTTATTATACTGCTTTACAATTCTAGTTTTATGTGCTAAATTTTCTTTTTTAGAAACCAAAAACAGAAAAAGTTGTGATCGATCAAATGGCGCCGTCTCGTGAAGAAATCAATCAACACCTGTATCAACGATATTTGAAGAGGATTTCAGCGGCCAAAGCAACGAGAGAAATCAATTTTTTTTTTATGGATTAACAATCGTCAAGGAAAGGACTGCACGATGGTGGTTTCAGAAATTCCGAAAAGGTGACATCCGGCTCACACGAAAGCGAGGAAGTGGTCATCCCAGAAAAGTGAATCGACAGACGTTGAGGCGCCGACTCCGGCAAAATCCCGAAGGATCGACTCGGATTTTGGCAAAAGATTATTGCGGAAGAATGACAGTATGGCGTTGGCTCAAAAAAAACCGGAAGAAAGTGGTTGAAACAGCGGCAAATTCCCTATCAACTGAACAATTCGATTAAGGACCAAAGAGCGCGGTCATGCCGTCAACTACTGAACGAATATCGATGCGGTCAGCTTCCTCTTTCCAATATAGTGACTCATGATCAATCGTGGATCTTCTATGATGGTCGAGTGTTGAAACGGCAATGGTTGAGGAAAGGTCGATTGGGAAAAGTGGTGCCAAAACGAAATATTCATGGGAATAAGCGACTTCTGTGTGTCTATTGGTGTTGCTCTGGCATACTTTTTTGGGAGCTCCTCCAGAAGGGTCAAACTTTTAACAGTGATGTTTATATACGCCGTATGGAACAAGTTGAGCAGAAAATTCTCCGATTGCTCTATCAGAATGAATGGAATGCTTCCGTTTTTGTGCTTGAAGACAACGCTCCTTCTCACAAATCGAAGAATTTTGTGGAAAACAATTTGCACTGGAATGTACTTTCACATCCCGCTTATAGCCCGGATATTGCTCCTTCTGATTATTACTTATTTTTGTCGCTAAAGGATTTCCTTCGAGGCAAGCAATTCAACAACCAAGGTGACCTCAAGGACGAATTGAAGGACTACTTTCTTTCACGACAACCCGATTTTTACAAGCGGGGACTTGAAAAGTTACCAAAACGTTGGTTAAATGTCTATAAAAATATATTCTATGATCTTGGTTGTTACTTTTTATTGTGTTGAAAATAAAAATTTTTGAAAAGCGGCAATTTTTTATGGGACAAGCTATTAAATAGATAGATAGAAAGCCCGACAAAATGTATCGATTCTAGATGTTGCTTGTGGATTGAAGTAACTTCATTTTTCAAAGAATTTTGATGATTTATTCTAAAACAAATATTAAAATTGTAACAAAATTGAATATTAAAATTGTAAAAATATGAGAACAGTAACAAATTGGGGTATAACAAGAGGGGGTTTATAAGAAGAAATTAATTACATGTCAACATAGACAACTTAACAAAATAATGCATGTCGAATGCAAAATAGCAAGCTCAAAAAAAAAAACGTACAAAGCAGCAATAGGGAAAAGAGAAGTGCAATGTGGGTACGTGTGAAAGCTGTTTCCAAGAGATCGACGATATAAAATTAGAAATAGGTAATATGTGCACGTGTAAGATCAATTTTGAGGTAAAAAGACGTAACAAATTTGAGAATAAAACTTTAGAGATTGAACTTTAGAAACGTGGACTCTAGAGATGCCATACGTGAACTTTAGAGATGCCATATCGTTTACCACCAAGACTTGAACCATCCCGAGACTTTCTTGATCGTTTCCTCTGCCTTCCTGACAAAGTTATTCACCGCATCATCGACTTTCTTGATCGTTTCCTCTGCCTTCCTGACAAAGTTATTCACCGCATCATGGACTTTCTTGATCGTTTCCTCTGGCTTCGTGATCAAGTCACCCACAAAACCACCAATTTTTTCGCCGATGAATTCGCCGATGATTGGGCCCATGGTTGCGCCGATGGTTGCGCCGATCATTGCGCCCGCAACGCTTCCGACACCAGGCAGGACAGCTGTTCCAATCCATGTTCCAATCTTTGTTCCAATCTGTGGTCCATACTGGGTTCCAATCCGTTTACCTAAACACTTTCAAATTTATAAGTTTCACTTTTCAACTACGCCAAGCATTGATTTGAAAAAGTACCTGCCCATGCTCCTCCAGTTTGGCAAGCAGTTTTAATGCCCGCCTTTACGACACGACATACGGCATCATCCTGAACATGCATAAATTTAAAGCTACAAGCTAAAGAAAACTCACATCTTTAAACTCCTTCATATTGGCACAAAACTTCTTTGCACCTGCAATCCAAGGGCCAGCGGAATCAGCAACTTTTCCAACCTCTTCCAAAACCTCGACTGTTTCTGGTGACTAAAATGAATGCTTTGAAATTTGTTAAGTAGAAACAGCTCAAATCCATCATGAAACTTACGAACTTAATACAGGAACTTAATAAGTCAGACACAGGTACCACCGCGACAGCAGCTTTTACACAGAACTTGATGTCATCCTTTGTAGAACGCTTCGACTAAAAAGATTGAATCACAATAAAAATTAATTACGGAAAACAAGTTATGACCAAAGGGAATTTAATAATTTTTTTTCTGGAATCTTAGCTTTGCAAAAATATATAGTTAGCACTTAATTGCAGCAGAAAACTCACAGAATCATTTACTGCTTCAATGCCGTCCACAAGACGTTCAAAACAGCCTGTAATCTAAAAAACAATTTGTAAAAACCGATTTTTTCGAACTTGCCACTAGTTTTAAAAGCTCTTTCTAGGGTAATTAATTGCACTGAATCCATTGCAGGTATTTAAGCATTTATAAACAATTCTGAACAACTTTTATGCCAGTTTGAGTAACAATTTCGCGCCTTCAAGAGTGGCTTTATTTCCACTGGGTGCGGGATCGAATTAAGAGGCTTAAAACCTAGGTAACTGCTAGAAAACATTTGCTAAAGCTTAAATAAATACCAAATTAAGAATCTGCGCCATCAAAAACAATGGCACTTAAGAAGAGCTCCTTTGAAGCAAAAATTAGTGCGTTCTGGCTCAATAGAGATGAATGCACACTGGTCCACCCAATTACTATAGCACCCGTAATAATTCTACTAATAATAATTATCATAGTTGTTTAATAACGAATAACACACCTTGCTTTCGAGCTTTTCTCGTTCAGAACTCTTTTTGAAGCCTCCAAGGCATGACGCTCCAATCTCGAGCCAATCGAGCCTCTCTTCAGCGAAGCTCCAGAAGTCCATCTAAATTTGTAAAAGTTTTTGTAAAATTATAAATAGAACCTCGTTTTATTCGACTCTGCCTTTCTCTCCAGCCTTTCTCGCCAGCTAAATTAATATAAATTAATGATGATGCACAAAAAAGAAAATGAAATAAATGACAATGATGCTCTAATAGCGATAACTACTTTGTTAACATAGGTTAACAAAGTAGTTATCGCTATTAGAGCATTATTGTCAATGGATTCAGAGCAAGCAGCTCATATTTTTAAAGAAATTTTTGTCGTTGAAACACCGTGAAATCTAACTGTCGCCTTGATTTGAAAAAATATTAAAGTTAGGTACCTAATACATAATTTGGTACTTTGGTGGTTGGAAGAGGCCACTTTTATCCTGGCTTAGTTGAATCTAAGGCTGGTTCTATCTACAACCAAAGTGGTTGTATTGATACCTTTTATCTATTCTAAGGTAATCAAATATGCTTAATAGATTGGTGACTATTTTAGCAAGTTTTTGGCAGTTTTTGGCAGCAATTCTAGCCAAATCTCATGTACTTTAACCACTAAACGCTACCTTAAAGCTGCTTACACTTGAAAATCAAAAAAGAAAAACGGTAATATGAAACTTGCAACATGTTGTATAAGCTTATTTAATTACTTGAAACATGCTCTAAAAGTATAAGCATACTTGATTACCTTAGAATAGATAAAAGGCATCAATACAACCATTCAAAGCCTTAGATCCAACTAAGCCAGGATAAAAATCGCCTCTCCCAATCACCAAAGTACCGCAGATTATTTCGATTTGCGTTTTAGTTAAAAGGAATTGGTTAAGTTGAGTTTATACGGCATGTATGAACGGCATGTATGAACGAATTCAAAACAATGGAGTGAAAGGAGCCGAAAAAAAACGAAATAACACCGTATTAGTATTTTAAACAATAAACTATGGGCAAACAATATAAAAAGGAGGAAACGAACGAGGGGAGGGAGGGAGTAATTTAAAAACGCGCTACAAAAACATAATAGATTTTATGCGGGGAGAAGAAAACTTAAAACTTAGAAACTTAAAACTTAAAGCTTCAAAACTTAAAACTTAAAAACCTCGGCATAAAAGCCGGAAAAACTTTTCGATTCCATCATGGAATGAAGGAAAATGAAAAGAATGGCAAAACGGGGAATTTTGTGCGGGGTACGGTAGCGCATCCACGCATTAGAAAGCGCGCCCGTGCCACTTTCGCGCCAAACCGCACGTCAATTGGAATCTAACTTATTTTTAGTTAGCACATCGATTGGCAACGCTAAAGCAGTGTGAATATGCAAAAATCTAGCCAACTTTTTCAACAAACCCAGAAAGCCACGTTTTTAAAACCTAAATTGGACAGCTCAAAGCCGAGATATTTGAGCTCAAAGTTGAATTGCCAAAAAAGGAGCGGGGCGCGTATAAAAGGAAAGCTCGCTCCTTTTGCCATTGACAATCCGACTTTGAGCTCAATTATCTTGGTTGGGATGTCCAATTTCAATAGTTAGGCAAAACTGGGCTGGATCTGAGCTTTGGGACAAGCTGATTGGCTGATCTGGTGGGTCAGAGTTGAATCAAGAAATGGAATCAGTCAGATCAAGTCATTTTAGAGATCTAGAGGCAAATCTTGAATCTTTGGCATCTCTGGCAAACCTTTGGGTTGAACAGACCAAAATCAGGGCTAGGATCAATTGGCCAATCAGTCTGCCAGGCCAGGCCAGGCTACCAAGGCAGAGCCAGAACAGGCAAGGTCTAGGCTCCAGAGCAGGGCAAGGTCACACTAGAGCTCTGGGTCTAGAGCCACGAAAGTCGGGTCGGATAGATTATAAGAAAACCCTATCAAACTCTACAGCATCTTTCTTTGTGACATCCAGATCATCCAAAAATCGAACATTCAGTCCGAGTCGTCGAAAGAAATGCGTCCAGTGGTGCGCGAGACATTCCGCGTCGGACCACCCATTGCTCACCAGGATCTCATCGATTTGAACTCACAGGTTGATTTTCCATACTGATCTCCAGAATCGAGGAGAAACCAAGAAAAACCTGGCCTTATCCCCGAAAATCTCGATTTCAGATGGTAATCAAATATGCTTATACTTTAGAGCATTTACAACATGTTTCAAGCTTCATATTGCCGTTTTTATTTCATTTTCAAGTGTAAGCAGCTTTGAAGTGGTTACTTTAACCACAAGAAAACAGATGGGGATACGTGGTTTGCAAAATAATACAAAATAACAACAATTTACATAGAAACAAGCAATATAAAAACGCCAACAACAAGCAATCAACAACAGCAAACAACAAGCAATATAAAGACGTGAATTCAGTCAAGAAAAGCGATTGTCGATACTTGGCACACTGTGGATATCGTTGATATTGATAACCTCGTTTTTGAGTTTTAGATCTATTTCAAGTCTATTCCAAGGTCTATTTCAACTCTATTTCAACTCTATTTCAAGTCTATTCCAAGTCTATTTCAAGATCTATTCCAAGCTCTATTCCAAGCTCTATTCCAAGCTCTATTCCAAGCTCTATTTCAAGCTCTATTCCAAGTCTATTCCAAGTCTATTCCAAGTCTATTTCAAGTAATTGCTCAGGAGCTGATTGCTGATTTGTTGCTTTTTTGATGTTATTGTTTTTGATATTGTTTCTCCATTGAACCTAAAATCATGTTCCACAGTGTGTCGATAATCCAATAAATAGATAATGAAAGGCTTTATAACCACTTTATAACCTATTTCAAAACCAAACCACAGCCTATTTATTTGAAAATCCGTATCTCCGAGATCTGAAACATTTAAACGACAAAACAAAGAATTCTATTCAAAATTTTTCGGTCCAACTTTATTCGACCAGGGGAGATCATCGGGTGGATCGGTAACAGCTCCACTCAAATGGGACAGCTCATCGAAAATTCGCTTCATCGCTGTCGTCGTTGTGTAAGCACCTGAAAACTACAATTAAACCGACATAGAGCGCGCCAGAGACGGTGCGTTTACTGTGAGCACAGAGAAGATACGAGCTAAATCTAGATGACAGCGATTTCTCGTGAATTAGGTGGCTTTTGATGGAAATTTTAATTATTTCGTAAATCCTGGAAGGCACTGGGTACCCTGGTTCCAAAAAAACGCGAGCATTTCCACTTTGCTACAAAGTGCATATAAGGTATAAGAATGGCTGAATATCTCAAAAGTTAGCTGTTTTTTCTAGAGTAATCTTTTGAATTCATAAATCCTGGAAGGCACAGGGTCCCCTGGTTTCAAAAAAACCCGAACGTTTCCACTTTGCTACAAAGTGCATCTAAGGTATAAGAATGGCTGAATATCTCAAAAGTTAGCTGATTTTTCTAGCGTAATCTTTTGAATTCGTGAATCCTGGAATGCACAGGGTCCCCTGCTTAGAGAAATTAACTGATTTTCCCCACTTACCAAAAATCACTTTCCACGCCAGCATCTTCCTCTCGACGATTTTCTCCCACCCAGGCCAGCCGGGCCACAGAAAGCTAAAAATGGATGGGAATTGGATTCAGGATTGGAATTGATCCAAGATTAGCCAGAAATGCAACGAGATTTCCCGCTTTTTAAACAAACTTGTGCTCGTATAGCCGAAAATCGTGGTTCGCTGCGATCTCCTTCGCGATTTGACCCGTTACAAAGGCGTCATCGACCTGAATTTGAGTCAATCGGCAATCTGGAGCGCACGACATGGAAATGACTAGAAAAATCCGGGTGTCGTCTTAAAATTTTTCTCTATGATAGCTCGAAACGAGTTTGGGCAAATTTGGAAACAAACCGATGTGTAAAATCGCTTGTTTTCAATATTTTTCACCAATCTGGATATCAGGTCGGCTGACTGAAAGAATGGATTTGAGATTGAATGGATTTGGAAAAGTTTGGAAAAGCCAACCATGATAAAAGCCGGTCCACAACAGAAAGCTTCCCAATCATCGCCCGGATGAGCCTCTTTTGAAACGTACCTAAAAAAGCAGTAATCCAGCGTAAACACACCCTTTCTAGCGC